GTAGTTAAGCCGGAGAAGTATTGCTCCCGGTACGCTACCCCTTCCCAACTCGAGTTGTTCGCTTGTTTTATGGTCAGTCTAGATATGCCTCATCCCCTAGGACTTTTAAAATATAGAAGAACAAGCCACATGACTGGTTATCCCTAGTAGGATCGTTTTGTTGCATCATATGCACTTGATTTAGCGAAGCTCGGCACAGGGGTCGAGTCCGTATAAGACAGGTATCCTTTTTGAGACCATCATGTTCACTTATGTGCTACTTGTTGCATCATTTGGAAGGCTTGCTTGCATTTGTTGACCGGCTTTAGAAAATTAGTTGGGCGAAAAAAGAAAAAGAAAAGTCATTCCCCAGTTTTGTACAGGTAATTCGTTTTTACCAAATAAAAATAATATAAAAATGGTCTAGTCTTGGTTTGAACTACGCAGGTCCGATTTTCATCGGATGTGAGATACGTAAGCAAACCTCATCGGTTCCGCTCCCCAATTTTAAAAAAAAAAAATCAAATATATTTCCCTTTACTTCCTTCTTTAGAAAATAACTTTTTAGAGACCTCAATTTTAAAAAAAAATAAAAAAAATTCAAAAATATCTTCTCCTTTTTTTCTTTTATAAGTCTTTCTTCCACAAAAAAAAATAAATCAAAATCAGATTTTTTTCCTCCAAAAATCACAAAAAAATAAATAAATGAAAAAAAAAAATCGAAAATTCCAAAAAATAATTATTGAATTCCAAATTTTTTTTATGCTTCAGAAGTTTTTCTTTCAAAAATTGAAAAAAAAAATTCAAAAATATTTTATTTCTTCTTTAGAAGTGTTTATTTCAAAAAATTCCAAAAAAATAAAATCAAAAAAAAGAAACTTTAAAAATAAAAAAAAAATCTTTTTTTTAATTCTTTCTTTCAACAATTCCAAAAACAAAATGAAAAAAAAAATCGAATTTCAAAAAAAAAATCGCTCTTCTTTAGAAGTCTCACATTCAACAATTCAATAAAAAATTAAAATCTAAAAAAAAGTTTCTTTCTTCTTTTGAATCCTTTCTACCAAAAAAAATCCAAAATCATTTTCCTTGTTAGAAGCTTTCGTGGAGTTATTTGTATATGAGTAAAAAACGAGAGTTAGTTTGTGTACTTTATTCCTAATTTTTTCTGAACTATGTAATGATCTGATTCATGCGACATTATGATACGTAGACAATCCCCATCGGATTCGATCATAATCATAGAATTAACTGAGAAAGAAATAAACTAAAAAAAAGAAAGAAAAGAAAAAAAAAAGAAAAAAAAAGAGTGACAAAAAATAAAAGAGTGACCAAAAAATAAAAAGAAAGGAGAATGCCAAAAAAAAAAAAAGCGACAGAGACAAAAAAATCAAGAGTGATTAAATAGAGGTAGAAATAAAAGAAAAGAGATACATACTTAATGTGTTAGTTAAGACCGGAATGAAACATGCAATCGTTCAAACAAACAGATAAGTTATTATTAGGAGTTCATTTGCAGTATAATTGCTCAGTGAAAGTTGCAGTAACTCCCAGTCAACTACGTATCCAGTGGCCAGTGTTAACCGCCAGAAAGTCTAACTAACAAAAAACTGTGGCCATAAATTCGAACTTATTAAACTGATTCAATTTGATGACATGGCAAAACTTTAACTAACCGATCTAATTTGAGCTTGCTGACATGTCAAACGAGGTGGATAATTAATGCTCATGTGGCTTATGCTTAGCTCAAGGCTTCATAGTTTTTAAACAGGAACATAAAAGAAAAGTGCATATGTACATCTGAATTGAAGTTATACATATGTGCATAACAGATTTTATGTTATAGAAATACTTCATCAAATACAAAACCAAAATCAGAATTTCCATGAAAAAGGAATTTTTCCGAAAAGAAATAGTCCCTAGTATGTTGATTGATCTTTTTTTCCTCGAAAAAAGAAAATTTAACGTACATATTAATTATTCTACATCAATAAAATAGAAAGAGAGACTGAAATAGTTCAAGTTGGAGTATTCAAGAAGCTCGCTACCTCTTTAATTAAGCCGATGCATGGTATGAACTGCTTAATTTACAAAAAGGTCTTACTGAAATGCTTTATCACCGAAGAAAGATGAGAAAGAAATTAAGGACATATATTTTTAATTTCTTCCTCGAAAAAAGAAAGAACATTTCGAATTTTGTTTTAGTAGCTTTAGCATGAAGTTGTAACCTCAAAATTAAAATAATTACCAATTTGTTGGTTGGCAATGGTGCATTTAATTTGTGTTGGTAAAATTCGGTCACGACACGCAGTGGCGGATCAAAGATTTTAAAATTATGGGTGCTCGATGAAAAAAATGAAAAAATTAAGGAGTTTAGTCGTAGGTGCTTGTAAGCATGTAATTTTGACCCGCGCAAATTTTAAAGTTAGTTTTAGTATTTTAATATTTTTAAAACATTTAATTGAGTTTATTTTAATATAATTTTAATCTGTTTTACTTTTAATCCTAATACATAAATTAAAAAAAACATAAAATAGTTTTATTAGTATAACTTTAGCCTATTTTCTTTACTTTTTACCTTATTATAACATTTAGAAATCTTAAAAAAATAGTTTCATTTTAATATTTAATTTATGTACTTAATTAAGTTTAATTAATATTTTGTAGGAATTTTGAGTTTGCCTTTGTCCAAAAAGAAAGTTTGTAGGTCCAAGGTGTGAGTCCATCTCTTTTAACTTAAACCCATTACACTTGAGCCCAATTCCATCAACGTCTGACCCAGATTCACCCCAATTTTCCTTTCAAATCACAGCCCTTTATTCCATGGCTCCTAGTCTTTCACCCCTTGATATATAAACAAATTTTTTTTCCATCTCACCGGAATTCGACCACCTCCGTACACACACGACCTCCACCAGCCGCACACCCAACCCCTAACACCGGCAGCCGCACCTTCTTCTTCACCTCACTGCCGCCGCACCGCCGCCGGAGAAATCACCAGGCTCACCCCCTAAACTTCTACAACCTAACACCCCCTCATTTCCTTCACCCTAAGGAACAACGGCCAACCCTAGAGAGCAGTAGACCCTCATCCATCCTCCTCCTCACTGTCGCCGCACTTCCGCCGCCGTCAGACCCTCTTATCGCACCACCACCTCCTTCCACCGTTCAACCAGATTTTTATCCTTTCATCTTTAATTTTCAGTTTATTTTCAAATTCAAAAACATATACAAAAAAATGGTTCTGTGGTTTGGTTAAATTTTGATCAAAGTTTCAAAAAGAAAAAATCAAAAAAATACAAACAAAAAGAAATACATTGCTGCCTCTTTCTTCTATTTTCGATTTAGTATTCAAAAAATGGAAGTCGATTGAGCTTGAGGGTGATTCGAATTTGTTGTTGGATTCGCTTGGATTCACCGTTCGAGGTTCGGGTTGAGTTCCTATTTGCCGATTTCATTTTCGGTCATAGGTCGCTGATAATGTTCAATTCTGGGTTTATTGTCCCTATTGATGTCCTTGTTTGCCTTTTCAATTCTCTAATTAAGTGTTATTATTTTGCGGAGTTAATTTTGGCCGAAACAGAGCAAGGACTTTGGCTCCACACTCGAGGTCCAATTCTAAACCGTATTTGCTCTTCAATCTTATGATCTATTTCTCCTGATGCTATAAGTGGAATCTTGATTTTGTTGCCTATTACTTTTCATTCTTGACTGAAATTGCTTCCACTTGTCTAGTTCATCATTTAGTTTATATATCTCTTGCCTTAAGAGAAATAGGTTTAAGTTTCTAAAAGCTTAGGTGAGAATCACTGATTTTAACATGATATTTGGTTTTTTTGCAAAGATGTGTTCGTGGGGTGGGAATATTACTTAAGTGGATAGAATTTCAAACTTCAAATATTTCATAGTTTTGTCATTACTTTATTAATTTATCAGCTAGAAATATGTTTTAGGCCGATCACACTCGGGTAGGCAAATCGTAGGTCGCTTCTTTTATTTTATTCGAGGCGAGAGGTCGTTTCCTTTAGTTTATTATCCGGAAAATACCTTGCAAAATTTATATATATTTTATTCGGGATATGCCCCGAAGTATTTGTATTTGGAGGCCGAAAGTAAAACTTATATTATTTTCATTTTCATTTTTCTTTTACTAGGTGAGAACGACCTTGAGCCTTTTGTGAGTTTATTTTTCTTTTATGTGTTTATTTTTACCTCAATTTGAATATTTTTAAAAGCCAACTAGATCGAGTGCGCAACCGTGACTTTCACGAGACTCGGGAAATGCCTAAGACCTTCTCCCCGAGTCAAATAAACTCCCTTACCTAGAAGTCTGGTGCAGACTTAGTTTTGGATTCCAAAGTATTTCAAAAGAAAAAATTATTGCTAAAAACAGTGACCTAATACACCGAAACAAAATGTCAGGTGGCGACTCTGAAAAGTCCTTTTGAATACAATTCTTTGTCACTTTCAAAATTAAAACCCTTTCGAGCTTCAAAAATCACCTTTATATATTTAAAGAGGGCTAGTGAGGTAAAACAAAGGGGTGTGACAACTTTGACGACTCCGCTGGGGAGTTGCAGGTTCGAGCTGATACTTTGATCTTGTTAGCTTTCTAGAATATTCAGCTGAAGTTTTCATGTGTTTTATTTGATCTTTATTTTGTTTGTCGTTTTATTATTTGCTACCTGTTTATGTATTTACAATTTTTCCTTTATGTGTTATTGCTTTATAACTGTCATCACTTGCATAACCATGTGTCAATTCTTTCTGCAACAAGTCTCGTAGTACGCGTCGCGTATAAGAACTCTTTGTTGAGTCAGCCTTATTTTAGGAGGGGGAGCCGTGAGACGTATGGAGTGGGTGGAAAGCATGAGCAGCCATCATCGACCATATGCTCCCCCGAATTGTCTTGTTAGTGAACCCTAAATGTAGGTCAGCCTTTAGGTCATTTTTATTTGCATCATATCATTGTGACTTAGTAGGGCTCGGTCCTAGGTACCGTGTTCCTTCGTAGAAACCTGTCCAAATTGTGTCAATTGGGCCCATGGCCCAAAAGGACATTCAATCATCACTATATGATACATGTTGCATCTTTGAGGGTAGAAAGGTCATTTGGGGGACTGCTATTTGTAAAAATGAAGCAAGTAGTGCCTAGTTATGTTTTTCTTTCACATCTTTTTCAAGAAAAAGACCAAAAAAAAATGAAAATGAAAAATCCAAAAAGATTTTGTACTTTCCCGTTATTTTTCAAAAACAAAAAAAAAATCCAAAAAGATTTTACATGTCTCATCATTTTTTCAAAAAAGACAAAAAAATATGTTTTCTCCAAATTAATGTTTTTATTTAATTCTCTCCCGTATTCAATCTTTCCGAACTACGCATATCTGATTCTCGTCTTCTGGGGCGAGATACGTAGGCTGCCCAAATAGGGTCTGATCTTCCTAGTGAGTCTTATGTTCTTGGCTTCGGGGGTCGTAGCCAAATCTTGCGTGCCTAGCCACTTTTGACCACATCGGTCGTTTTGCTAAATAGGGCTTTCTTTCAAACTGGCTTGTTTAATTGTGCCTGGAGAGTCTTGAATGCACAATTAGGTGTCTCTTTACTTTAAGGCCCGTCCTGGTCGAATTTGCATGTCTGGCTGCTTTTGGCCACATCGGCTGTTCTTGCAAAATGGGATCATTTTCGCAAAAGTGGTTCAGTGACTCATGTCTTAGAGTCCTAAGTTCACAACAAGGCGTCCTCTCTGTTTAAGGTCCATTTTTTTGAGTTTGCACTTCTAGTCATTTTTTGGCCACATAAGCCATTTCTACAAAATGGGTAATTTCTGCAAAGTAATTTTTCCATGTCTTAGGTCACCTTTGTTGAGTTTGCAATTCTAACCAACTTTTGGCCACGTAAATAACTTTGCAAAAATAGCATTAATCATGTCTTGCATGTGTCCAATAGGAAGTGTTATTGTCTCACATAGTGTTCTAAGGCTTTAACTCTATTTGGTCTTATTTTTCTCATACAGGTATGGATCTATTTGCCGGAACTTGAGCATGACAGATACCCCAGGACCATCGCATTTGGGAGCTTGTTTGAAGAGATTTTTTATATTTTGAGTCTATTTTCATGTTTACTTTTACTTTCTTATCTTGTCTAGTAGTTTTGAGTCTTTTAGGTGGCGTAAGAGTTTGCCGAGTCTTTTGTCATCGTACTTCTCATTTGTATTTGAAAAACAATAGTTATAAATGAAAATCCAAAAGATTCTTGTTTTTTAGTTTATTTTTTCCATCACTTTTTCAGAACTACACTTGGTTTGATTCATGTGGAACATGATACGTAGGCAACCTACATAGGATTCGATCGAATCATTATTAAGAAAAGGAAAAGAAAAAGAAAAGAAAAAGTTAATGAAGTTGTGGGACGTGAGGGATGAGAGAAAGAAAATAGTGACAATTAGAAAGAAAAGAGAGGAAAGGAAATGAGCAAGCCAAGAAGTGATAGAAAAAAAAGAAAAGAGAAGATTGAAATGAACAAAATTGGGATGATGCCAAATGACCTCGTGACCCTCGAAGTCATTCCAGAACTGTTAATTATTGCTAGGTGCATTGCACGCAATGTGATATTTCTATTTGATAAATGCCCTAACACTAACATGTTGGCTTTATTTTGCTCCTCTTTGGTACTTTAATTGTTATTATAACAGAAGGTGGTTGGTTTGTGGCATTCTAGCGTGTCATCCATACAATACAAGGTCAAAGAGAAAGGTAGTCATGTCTAGCAAAGACTTGGACATAGGTGTTGTTGATTCGTCTAAGGAGATTGTTGAATCAGAATCTGAGTTGAAAGAAGAGGTCCTAAGGTTGAAAGGATAAATGAACAAAATATACCAAGCATGGATTAGTGGGTATCCTCTACCATTATTTCCCACTAACTACACTAAAAACCTCGCCACCATTCCGCCTCTGTCACAAATCCAGATTCCCACAGCTGCTGATATCTCCCCACAACTTTTTCACACTCCACCACCCAAAACCACCTCATATACCGCTCCTTTGACCACTCATATTTTTGTAGCTCCTCCACCACCTATTTTTCCTCGATCCTCTAGCGAGACTGTGTTCAATGTCCCCGACACCCAACACTATACTCTAGTACCCACTTTCAAGGTCTCAGATCCATACTCTTACACTCCTCGTTTTGAGGTTCCCGGTGAAACTGTAAAGTCGGCTAAGAAAGATATCCAGAAAACTGAAAGGTATAGAAAAATCCTTAAAAAGCATGCAATGAATGGGAAATAACATGTCTTACAACTACTTGTGTATGTTTCCGGATATTCCTCTGCCTGTGGGGTTTAAAATGCCAAAGTTTAACTTATATGATGGGCGTGGAGATCCAGTAGCCCATCTGCGGGTTTATTGCAGTGAAATGAGAAGTATTTATGGGAAAGATGAATTATTGATGACATATTTCAGTGAGAGTTTGAGTGGGGAAACCTTGGAGTGGTATACTCATCAAGATGTCAGTAAGTGGCATGCATGGGGTGACATGATTCAAGATTTTATTCTGCACTATCAGTACAATGTAGACATTATCCCAGACCGTTTCTCCCTATCTCAGATGGAAAAGAAACCCAAGGAAAGTTTTAGGGAGTTTTGGTTCAGATGGAATGAACAAGTTTCTTGGGTCAGTTCTCCGATTGATAGAATATATATTGCTGAGTCACGCCGACGATAGGATCTAGTGGGCATTCCTGCTAAATGCTTTCAGCTTCAATACCGATCCCATGAATATCCTCGTATTCCAAATAATCCTCCCCAATTCTACTTTCCTCCACAAAATCCCCAAAGTCATACCTCACCTTTCCAGTACTATATCCATAATACACTGCCATATGCTCCACACCCCCGAAACCCGCAACGGTTTACACCGCCTTCACAAATGTCTTACCCACCTCTACAAGCATATCAACCACCTACCCGAAAGAGGTTTCAACCAAGGCCGGAGTACAAAATGAGAAGGCACCAGCAAAGAAAAAAGTCTTTCACTCCTATTGGAGAATCATATGCTGGTCTATTCCAAAGGCTGAGGCAATTGGACATGTTGAAGCCGATTCAGATAAAAATATTGAACCCCCTTTCAAAGAATTTTAATTTTTCTCAAAGGTGAGAATATTGCTCTAATGCCCCGGGGCACGACATAGAAAAGTGTTGGCATTTGAAAAGAGAAGTCCAAAAGCTTATTGATGCAGATAACATTACCGTGCAAAATCCAAATGCAGCAGATACTAGCCAAAGTCCATTGCCTGTTCATAATGAGACGCATATGGTGGGCACGATTTGTGTTGAAAAGGAATATGAGAACTCTTCTGAATTCCTTGGAGGACCATTTTGCCGTAAAACTTTCGCGCTATTAGTCTCGGTTCCAGAAGTTGATCTTAAGAACGAGTTGGTAAAAGGGACCCAAAAGCTATTTGCTGAGGTCAATGTGATTGAAATTGGTAATGGTCTTGGTAATATTGATGTGGAACTCAGTGGCTAAGATTTCAAGCTTGGTAATTGGAAAGGCTCTCCTTTCTTGGCTAGCCAGGGAGGAGTTTTGGTGGTTTATTTTGTTGTCATTTTTGTTGTCTGAGTTATTTTAGGGTTGTAATCCGGATATTGTCTTGTGTCTCTTACCCTTCTTTTTCTTCTTCTTATTTTGCCTAGTTCGTTAAGTTGTAGTAACTCGTCTAGTATTATCTAGGTTTTTCCAGGGTTGTAACCTAAGTTTATTTTGCTTGTTTTATTCAAACCCTTTTCATCATCTGTCTAATACAATCTCCTGTTTTCTGTTAGTTTTTGTTTAGGTCACTTTTACTTTTATAGTTCTTTTCATGCTGACTCTAGTGACATGACATGCACGCATAATTCTTAGCCTCGTCTTGAAAGTTAGTCTAATCATGACACAATGAAACAAGTTGAAGAAAGACATTTGAGGGAAATAAGTAAATATTTGGACATCTTGAGATCATTTAAAGCCCGAATTGTGTGAAACTGGGGCAGATAGTTTGGGAAGTTAATAGGACGACAAGAATTTGTTACGAGAGAGTGCATCCCAGGCAATTTGAAGCGAGCAACTTTGAGTTCAAGTGCATCTCAAGTTACGAGATAAAGCTAAGGGAGTTTGCTCCAAATATACGGAGGTCATCCATTGTGAAGAAATCACCCAACGAGAGTTTTGTACTTGACAAGGCACTAAAAAAACATAGAAGGCATATCGGTGATATCAATGCTGATGCTGCAAAGAAATACTATGCATGATCTTCATTTTCATCCTCAAGTTGCATGTGTTATGCTTGATATTTTCAGAGATTAGGAGTCCCTCTTTCAACTACCCAAACACTTTATACCATTTGGTATACCCTTTTGAGCCTATGCTAATTTTCTTGACCTCCCCTCTTTTGGAATCGAGTTAGAGTCATTACATAAAAAGAAAAAAGAAAAAAATCATGCCCCATAAGGTTTGTTTTAGAAACTTCATTCCAAACAAAAAATTCAAAAAGAAAAAAACATAAAAAGAGGGAAACAAAAAGAAACCAAAAAAAAAGAAAAAAATCATGCCCCATAAGGTTTGTTTTAGAAACTTCATTCCAAACAAAAATTTTAAAAAGAAAAAAAACATAAAAAGAGGAAAAAAAGAAGAAACAAACAAAAAGAAAAGGAAAGGAAAATAGCAGAAACAAAGAGTAGTCTTTTGAACTACGTTCGACCTGATTCTTGTCACCACAAGATATGTAGGCAGCCTTAAGGTTTGGTCGCACCAAATAAAATATTTCATAATCCCACGAAGTCAAGAGTGGGTAGTCTTTCTTAAAAATTCCATTTCAAAAAAAAAAGAATCAAATTCTCTTGTTTTAGAAATTGGGGCGAAGTTCTTATAATGGATTCCAAAAGTTGTAGATAAATTAACCCTTTTGTCTTAGTTATTTTGAGCCTTTATGATATCCCTTATTTCTAACCCTATCCAAAAGCCACATTACAGTCTAAAAAAGACCTCCCAGTTAATATTTGAGAGTGTCGATCAGACATGCCAGGAACATATGATATTTCTATCATGGTTAATGCCTTGTCATCTGCAGAATCAGCGTAAATAAGAAGAAAAGAAAAAAATGAGAGAGTCTTATCAGTGAAAACCTTCACAGGCACCATAATGTAGCGGTAAGTTGAGAGAAAGAACAAATGAGAGAGGCTTGATAGTGAAAACTCTTTGGGCACTACAAGTCGAATAAGGATCATGAATTAGATAGGATAATCGGAGCATTGAAGCTCAGTTTCACGGCTTAGAGGTACAACAAGAGTTGAACATTAAACTTGCTTGACAGATTAGGCCACTTAATCCAAAAGTGCATATTATGGTCATTAGAGTTGGTATCCACATCTGATAAGTTTCTACTTTATAATTTTCTTGTTAGATATCATCTCTTTCCATTGTCCCTTACTCTGTTCCTTTTGCTTTATTCACGTCCTCTTTTTGAGTCTGTTTCGTCAGAACAAGTGAGAAATTACTTCAAATTTGCTACCATCTTTCCAATTGCACAAATCAGAGTTTGGCTAGCACATCAAAGCGACATAAGTCAGGAAAGAGCAGTATGCGGACTGAGTTGATAACAATTGATGCACTTTGGGATTCATGTGAAATGCAAAGGTTCAGTGGATGTCAATTCTTGAGCAAGTGTAGGAGCAATCACCCTCAAGATCAAGGCCACAAACTAACCACCATGTTTCAAACTCACAAGTTTTCTTTGTCTGAAACAGAGATGAAGGCTATGTTTATATCAAAGCTTGGAAGCTTGAATTTTTCAGGTGTAATACCCCAATTTTGCTTACGCAAATTCTATTGAGAAGATCACACATCACCCCTAGGAGATGTCGCGCCCTCTTTTTCCCTCTCCGCATCGGAAAATCAAGTTTATGACATTTTAGGTATAGGACAACTCATTCCTTTTGGGAATTGGGTTTTGCATTTGCAGAGTTGCCACCTAATGATTTAAGGTACATTAGGACACCTATAGGGTTCATTTCTAAGTTTGTTTGATAACCAGAGATAGGGTAATGTCTTGAAATTATCCTAAGGGGAATGTGTTAGGCACCCCTCAGGATCCATTAGTGTGGTTACCGGCTAGATAATTTTGTGAATTTTGTACAATTAGCAGATAGACAAGTGTAGGCTCAAATAGTAGGGGATTTAGGTTTAAACACATAAGAGTTTGAAAGAACAATTATTAAAAGGTGAATTTTG